CCAGCGCTTGTAAGGACTTTATGTATGAGTGTGTGTATGTGTGTGTTTAAATCCCTGTGTTAGTTAGTGTTAATACTACTAATAATACCTTTTACACAAGTACATACTTATTTTTGCCATCATTTATTGTCTGACTGTGAAATGCATTTAACAAAAATATATTTCTTAAGCTTACATTGTTGTAAGTAAAATTTGAACTTTTACTAATGTACAACAAGTGCTAACAAACGGTGGGGTATAATATAGGGAAATTAATTTACCGGACAGGGTGATAATGACGTTACGCCCGTTTTCTATAGACTAGTTTATAGACCAATCTATGAACTAATCTATCGATTACTTTACTAACCAATGTAGTTTAGTCTATTGACTAATCAACTGACTAGTCAGTAGTTAAGTCCATAGACTAATCAGTAGATTTGTCCGAAGAATAATCAGTAGATTAGTCAAAAGATGAGTCCATAGACTAGTCAATAGATTATTGACTAGACAATTGCCAAATCTAGTGGTTAGTCTTTTGACTAGTCTACTGACTAGTATCTTGTCTATGAACTATAATATATTGCCTAATCTACAGATTAGTCTTTGGACTAGTCTATGGACTTATATATTGCCTAATACGTGGACTATTGAATAATCTATGGACTAATGTATTGACTAGTCTATTGGTTAGTTGATTCACCAGATTACTGACTAGTTAGAGTACTGACTACTATGTCATGCTTTAAGATTGCTGATAGACTAGCCAGATTAGTCTTTGGACTAGTCTATGGACTTATCTATTGACTAATCTGTGGATTAATCTATTGACTAATCTATGGGCTAATCTATTGACTAGTCTATTGGTTAGTTGATTCACCAGATTAGTGACTAGTTAGAGTACTAACTACTCTATGTCATACCTTAAGATTGCTGAAAGACTAGCCAGTAGTCTAGTCAACAGAATAGTCCATACACTAGCCAATTTTTGACTATTGACTAATCTTGGACTAGTCTATTAACAAGTCAGTAGACTAGTCAATGGATTAGTCCGTAGACTAGTTAGGTGATTAGTCTTTTGACAAGTTAAAAGATTAGTATATTGACTAGTCAGAATACTATTGACTAGTCTATTGAAAAGTCGACTGGCCAGTCTTTTGACTAAACTACTGACTAGTATCTTGTCCACTGACTAGTCTATTGACTTGTCTACTGATTACTGATAGTCTTAGTCATGCATTAGTCAGTTTTCAATTGGCTTATCCATGGACTAGTCGACAGTCTATTGACTAAGCAATAATCTAGTCTATCGGCTGTCTATGATCTATTGACAAGTCTTTGCACAACTGGCTAGACTATTGACTCATATATCTGGGGGTAAAGCCAAAGTATCGGGAGTACCGAACATTTGATATGTGGTCTAAATATTGCTTTAGTATCAGAGAGAAATTATTTTTTACTAAGATCTTTTAACAAGTTTTAGAATTACTTTCAACTTTTTACAACATAACAATTTTTGTTATTTTTATATTTATCGCCCCCCCAAATTTCCATTGAGGTCCAATTAGCAAACTTTACATCGGCAAACGACACGTGTAATTTAAAAGACCTCGGGTAAAAGCTTAAATTTGTATTTTGTTAATGATTAAAAATAACTTTGAAATCAAATTATTAAAATTTTCAACACACAAAAACAAAGTGTAAACATTAAGTTAATAATAAAGAATGTAAATTTAAATAAAAATTCTGAAACACAGGGACAGCACATGCGAAATTCAGTTAACAAAAAAATTATTCATGTGTGTGTTTTAAATTGAATGAATGTGTATGAGTACGAAATGAATATGTATTTATGATTATTTAGATAAAATTATACCCAGCAGTAAGGAGTGTCCTCTTAATAGGCTCAAATTTCAAACAAACAACCTGATTTGTTTCACTACAATGGGCGTTATATTATAAATTAAGAAATTTCTGAAAAATATTGTTTTAAAAAGAGTACTTTGACTCCTTATAAAACTGCTGGGATGTTTATGTCTAAAATGTACGAAAGTGTGTGTATGTGTAAAAATTAGTAAATCTCCTGTGTGTATTTAAGAGTAAATAAACAACAAATTATATAAATAAATGTTTTACAAAAGTATCCTTACATACCAACATACATACATATGTATGTATGTATTTAAATATATTTAAAAGTATCTACCTGTAACATAATTTTGAGTTTGGTACAATAATTTGTGCAAAATAACAGATTTAAACGAAAACTTTGTTCAAAAAGTAGACATTTTAACAAATTTATTTATGAACAGGAGCAGAAGATTTAAGTATTGTTGTTCTGTTGTTCTGAAATTCAAAAGTAAATATTTAACTTTACTTGAATAAATATAATTTAAATTTAAGAAATTTTTATTTAACAAAGAAATATTTTTGTGACACTCTCTAGGGACTACTAAACACATACATACACATGTATGTATGTACATAAGTAGTATATACAAAAATAAAAATGACCTTTATCTGTATGCACATACATTAGTTATTTTGTACGTAAATTAATTAATTTTATTAATTAAGGAATTACTTATTTCTTGTTTGTGTTTTCCTTTTTCATCAAACAAACGCTATAATGAATAATTTATTATAAAATCTACTTTATCTTTTTGGTTGGTTTTCTTGTGATTGCACACTGGTACTGGTCAATATACATTTATCCATCTAATATGTTTGTAATTCTAATTTAGTAGAGCATTTGAAATCGATAATAAACCTTAGATTTGTTTTTTATTTATAAAGATGTTTTTTTTTGGCCTAGAGGAAAAGATATTTGTCTATTTAGATCTATTAATAAAATATTATTATTTTCAAATGCTGTAGGGTAATAGTTAAATAGAAATACAAAAATTGAATTAAACATAAAATTTTCTATTTAATATATTTTGCAGCAAAAAATAAACCATTACTTTTCATCAAATTGTGAAGTTTTTAGTTCCGTTGTAGTTCAGTTCTAGTTCAGTTCTAGTTCAGTTCTAGTTCAGTTCTAGTTCAGTTCTAGTTCAGTTCTAGTTCAGTTCTAGTTCAGTTCTAGTTCAGTTCTAGTTCAGTTCTAGTTCAGTTCTAGTTCAGTTCTAGTTCAGTTCTAGTTCAGTTCTAGTTCAGTTCTAGTTCAGTTCTAGTTCAGTTCTAGTTCAGTTCTAGTTCAGTTCTAGTTCAGTTCTAGTTCAGTTCTAGTTCAGTTCTAGTTCAGTTCTAGCTCAGTTCTAGTTCAGTTCTAGTTCAGTTCTAGTTCAGTTCTAGTTCAGTTCTAGTTCAGTTCTAGTTCAGTTCTAGTTCAGTTCTAGTCAGTTCTAGTTCAGTTCTAGTTCAGTTCTAGTTCAGTTCTAGTTCAGTTCTAGTTCAGTTCTAGTTCAGTTCTAGTTCAGTTCTAGTTCAGTTCTAGTTCAGTTCTAGTTCAGTTCTAGTTCAGTTCTAGTTCAGTTCTAGTTCAGTTCTAGTTCAGTTCTAGTTCAGTTCTAGTTCAGTTCTAGTTCAGTTCTAGTTCAGTTCTAGTTCAGTTCTAGTTCAGTTCTAGTTCAGTTCTAGTTCAGTTCTAGTTCAGTTCTAGTTCAGTTCTAGTTCAGTTCTAGTTCAGTTCTAGTTCAGTTCTAGTTCAGTTCTAGTTCAGTTCTAGTTCAGTTCTAGTTCAGTTCTAGTTCAGTTCTAGTTCAGTTCTAGTTCAGTTCTAGTTCAGTTCTAGTTCAGTTCTAGTTCAGTTCTAGTTCAGTTCTAGTTCAGTTCTAGTTCAGTTCTAGTTCAGTTCTAGTTCAGTTCTAGTTCAGTTCTAGTTCAGTTCTAGTTCAGTTCTAGTTCAGTTCTAGTTCAGTTCTAGTTCAGTTCTAGTTCAGTTCTAGTTCAGTTCTAGTTCAGTTCTAGTTCAGTTCTAGTTCAGTTCTAGTTCAGTTCTAGTTCAGTTCTAGTTCAGTTCTAGTTCAGTTCTAGTTCAGTTCTAGTTCTAGTTCAGTTCTAGTTCAGTTCTAGTTCAGTTCTAGTTCTCTAGTTCAGTTCTAGTTCAGTTCTAGTTCAGTTCTAGTTCAGTTCTAGTTCAGTTCTAGTTCAGTTCTAGTTCAGTTCTAGTTCAGTTCTAGTTCAGTTCTAGTTCAGTTCTAGTTCAGTTCTAGTTCAGTTCTAGTTCAGTTCTAGTTCAGCTCTAGTTCAGTTCTAGTTCAGTTTCAGGTCAGTTTTGCTTCATTTCTTTTTAAACTCTAGTTTAAGTATCTTAAATATTTTAAAAGTAAATTCCGCAATTTTTAATCACATTCCCTACATATGAGATATTCTACAATTCCATTTCAATGCCTCTTAAATTCTGCCGTAAAACTTTACTATTTTATTTTCACTGCTAACAGTCCACACTTCAATAAACAATACTTAACAAAAAAAAATTCTTTATTATATTTTTTTCGCCTAAAATAAATAACACTGCTTTTTCTCATTAAGAAAACAACAGGAGTTTCAATAAATTTGTTTTCATTGTTTTCAGTTCCTCCTGCTTATAGTATAGCTATGTAGTGTTTAGTGTATCTTAGAAGGAAAGTTCCTCAAGGAAGACAAAATTCAACAAGGTGTGAAAGTAAAAAAAAAAAGTTTTTTTCTTTTTGTTCTGGTTAAAATAAGTGTGAAGAATTGTGTGTCTATTATTTTCTAAAGATATATACATAGAAACGTCCTTGTTTCACAAAAGATATTTAGTCTTATTAAATAAGACTGGTGTAAGTAGTGTCAACAGCAAGGAAACTGAAACGGAAAGACAGACGGAAAGGCTTTAACAAAAACGCAAGTAAAAGAAGGGAGAACTACATTTTAAAAGAAATAGCAAAAATTTAAAGGAATGAATGATAAAAATAGTAAATAGGAAGACTTTAAAATATATTAATTAATAGAAAATATTCTTGGGGTGTTAAAAATTATGAGATACAATTATTTTATTGCATTATTTAGATAAAATGTATATTAATAATTTATTTTGTTTTTTACATTTACAGCTTCGATGTAGAAAATGGCCAAAGTGCTCGATCACCGCTTGAAGGCGGCTCTCCCAGCGCCGGTTTGGTTTTACAGAATCTACCCCAACGTCGTGAATCGTTTTTATATCGTTCCGATTCTGATTTTGAAATGTCACCTAAGTCAATGTCCCGCAATTCAAGCATTGCTAGTGAAAGGTAAGTTTTTTTTAAACTTTTTATATTCTAAATTTTATTTTAATTTTAAATAAATATTTAAAACAATTTAATGCCGAACATGCTTTAAAACGCATTTGCAATTTATTTTTATTTTCCTTATATTATTTCATTACAATTTCACTTTTATCATTTCTTTATTACTTTTCCTTTTTGCTATCCAAGAAAAATTTTAAAAAAATATATATTTCAATCAATATTTTCTGTTTTTAAAGTTTCACATTTCATTCATTAATGTGACATAAAAGCATCAAGATTTTTTTCTTTTTTTTTTTTGCAAAAAAGTATATGTTTCTCATTGCTGCATTGTCTATTTGCTCTTACACAATTTCGTTCAAATATCGATACGCTTCACTTCAACTCACTTTCTTCTATGCACTTTACTTTCAAACACCCTTTTAACTATCAAACTTTTTCAATGTGTTTTTAAAAAACTGAAGCACTTTCTGGCTTTATTTTTATATTATAAGAAATATTAAAGAATACGAAAAAATCTTATTAAAATTATGATATTTTAAAGAAAAGAAATTTGTTTAATGTTGGTCCTTCGAACCTTAAAGAAATATTATTATAATAAATATCAGATTATTTACTCAAAGTAGACATTTAGATCTGTATGTTAGAAAGCTTCAATGAATGTAAATTTAAACCTTGGTCCTTCCATCTAAGATTAGACTTAATATGGTCCTTCGCGTCATGAATTGTATGAAAAAATCCAATTAAATTGTAATATATTTTCAAATAAATTTCTCTATTGCTTAAATTATATTTCAATACTTTTTAGTCTGTCAATTAAATATAGTTAAAACTTGTTTTCTCAGAACATTTGTTTAATAAAAAAAGATATTTTTTTTTAAATTTGACAAATATCTAAAAAAAAATGATAATAAAAATATATTTGAAATACACAACAGCAACGAAAAAAATATATAAATAAATACTTGTATATTTTACTACAGCTCATTAAAAATATTTGAATTTATATGACCGCAAGTATTTATTTTTATATTTAGTGTTTTTTATTTGCGTTTTGTTTTGAAAATAAACCAAAAAATACTAAAAACAAATATTTTAAACTATAAAAATTTGTTAAATGTTAGTCTAATGTTTGTGGGTTTGTTACCCACTTGTCGTAAATGCATTAAACTAAAAATTTATACGCTACAAATTGCTTTTGTCTAAGGCCATCAAACACCAGCAACCCCAACTCATACCGTATAAATTTATTAGCTGAAAAAAAACAACAAATTTAAATAAATTTCACAGTTGTAAAATACAGTGGACGTCCAATAGTACGTATACTCTTTATTACGAATATCCAATAATACGAATGGCAAAATTGTTGCATTGTCTACTCTATAGTACGAATAAAGTCACAATTTTTCTGTTCGATAGTACGAATAACGCATTTTTTATGGGAACTTTGGTTTTATTTACGTATGAATGAAGTTTTTATTATGTTTTTATTTTATTATTTCGGTATCATTCACCTTAAGCTCAGTAATTTTGAAGTTTTTTGTATTTATTACAAGTGTTTTGTATTTTTAAAAATCCTATACACACAATTTACTGCATGTATATTTACAAATCAACAATTATTTAGTGTTATTAATTTATTTTATTGGAATTTTGATGACCCAAGAGAAGAAATTAAATTGGATGATAACGCCAATGAGGAAAGTATTTTATTAGTTCCCGACAATAACTCTGCTGAGAACAATATTAAAGCCTCAAAAGTGCTGTTATTGAAAAAGCCGTAAGAATCATTTTACAATGTAATAAACCATCAAAAAAGATGGGGGGTATATTGATTTTGTCATTCCGTTTGTAACACATCGAAATATTGCTCATAGACCCATAAAAGTATATATATTCCGAGTCCTTATTAAATTCTAAGACGATCTAGCCATGTCCGTCCGTCTGTCCGTCCGTCCGTCTGTCCGTCTGTCTGTTGAAATCACGATAGGGACCACACGAGAGGAGCTAGGCAGTTGAAATTTTGCATAAATATTCTCTATTGTTAAGGTTTGTTTGGTATTGAAAATGGGCAATATCGGTCCACTTTTTCGGATAGCCCCCATACAAGTGGACCTCCAAAAAACAGCTTCAACGGGCATAACTGCTTCAGAAGTACAAGTATAGCGATGAAATTCGACATAAATAAGTTCCATATGAGCCAAAATCTTTCTACCAAATTTTTTCAGGATCGGCCCATAAATGACCCTACCCCCCATATAAGGTCCCCTTCTGAAAATGACTTTAACACTCATTACTGGCCACAAAATGCAAGTATAGCGATGAAATTCGACATAAATAAGTTTCATGTGAGCCAAAATCTTTTTACCAAATTTTTTGAGGATCGGTCCATAATTGACCCTACCCCTCATATAAGGTCCCCTTTAGAAAATTACTTTAACACTCATTACTGGTCCAAAAATGCGAGTATAGCGATGAAATTCGGTATAAATAAGTTTCTTACGAACCGAAATCGCTCTACGAATTTTTTTTTAAGATCGGCAAATAAATGACCCTACCCCCCATATAAGGTCCCCTTCTGAAAATGACTTTAACGCTCATTATTGGCTAAAAAATACGAATATAGCAATAAAATTTTACACAATTAAGTTCCTCGCGAGCCAAAATCTTTTTAATAACTTTAATATGGATAGGTCCATAATTGGCCCTTCTCCCCCTATTGGGTCCACTTCAGGAAATAGCTTTAACGCTCATTACTGTCTTAAAAATAAGAGTAAAGCGATGAAATGCTACACACGTAAGTTTCTTACGAGCCAAAATCTCGGTACCAATTTTTTTTTTGGATCGGCCCATAAATGACCCTTCCCCCATATAAGGCCCCCTCTGCAAATAACTATACTGCTCATTACTGGCTTAAAAATATTAATGTAGTGACGAAAATTGACGCACATAAGTTTAATACGTGCCAAAATCTCTCCACTAAATTTAGGGAGGATCGGTCCATAATTTACCCTACCGCCCATACAAGGTTCCCTTTAGAAAATTTCTTAAACGATCATTACTGGCTTAAAAATATGAGTTATAAATACGGTTATGAAATTCGCTCCGAATTTCATGCGGAATGTGTCGGTAATTCACCCTACCCCCCCCCCATATAAGCCACTTTATAAAATTACATGAACGCTAATTGCCGGTATAAAAATGCGAGAACAGCGAATGTAAACAAGTTTTATATGAACCAAAATCAGTCTACAAAAAGTTATGAGGATAGGTCAACAATTGACCATACACCACATATGAGATCCTCTTTAGAAAATTTGATGAAGAAAACTCTGATATTTACAAGTACAGTACAAAATATTAAAAATTAATATTTTGTTAGTTCAAAAGAGCTCGGTCCATAATTGTCTTAAGCTATATTCCAAACAACACCCTGATGTTTATATGGGAGCATTCCTTTTACGGCATACGGTTTGATGGTGGGTATATGAGATTCGGCACAGCCGAATATAACACTCTTACTTGTTTAATAAGTAAAATTATATTTATATACATATGTATGTATGAACTGTTAATTTTGAAAGTAGTGTGACTCCACATTCCAAACAATGGGTTTAAGGATAACTATTCTAATTTTTAAGAGAAAATTATAAATTAGAGAATTGTGGTATATTCCATTCAAGTTTCTAATAAAAGTTTTATGTAATCTGAACATTTTAATACATTTTAGAACACATATGTAAATTGCAAATTGTCTTTGGCACACATCTTTTTAAAAACATTAAAATTTAAAAACTTCTACATATATCTCATTTCAACCATTGGACTCGCGATACTTTCAAAATTAACAATTCATATACGTAAATATGTCCCTTTTATGCCTGTTTATGTAGAAGAAATTTATTTAAAACTAGCTATACCCAGTGTGCTTCGCTACCCTCATCGTAATGGAATAAAATAAATATCATTATTGTAAATGTATATATATCTGCAATATCAAAAATTCCCCTTTTAGAGAACTCTTTAAGTTTGATTTTATGATTCTAGTCTCAATATTACAGAAAATTAAAAAAAAAAAAAAAAAAAAAAACAGTTGAAGAACTAAAAAGTACCAGACAGTGCCTTTTTATATATTTTCATTAAATCAGGATGACGCATGTTTATCCTTTTGAAGAACGAAAAAGTACCAAAAAGTGCCCTTTTATAGGTTCTCACTTAATCCAGGCTCTAAACGCTTAATTTCATGTTTCTAGGTTCAATATTATAGAAAATTCAAAATGTACCTTTTAAAGAACGAAAAAGTACCAAAAAGTCCCCTTTTATAGGTCCTCACTTAATCCGGGCTCTACATGCTTAATTTCACGTTTCTAGGTTCAATATTATACAAAAATCCAAAAAGTACCTTTTGAAGAACGAAAAAGTTCCAAAAAGTGTCCTTTTATATGTTCTCACTTAATCCAGGCTCTACATACTTAATTTCATGTTTCTAGGTTCAATATTATAAAAAATTCAAAAAGTACCTTTTGATGAACGAAAAGTCCCCTTTTATAGATTCTCATTTACTCCGGGCTCTACATGCTTAATTTCATGTTTCTAGGTTAAATTTTATAGAAAACTCAAAAAGTACCAGTCGAAGGACGAAAAAGTACCAAAAAGTCCCCTTTTATAGATTCTCATTTACTCCGGGCTCTACATGCTTAATTTCACGTTTCTAGGTTCCATATTATACAAAAATCCAAAAAGTACCTTTTGAAGAACGTACGAAAAAGTATGAAAAGGTCCCTTTTTATAGGTTCTCACTTAATCCAGGCTCTACATAGTTATTTTCATGTTTCTAGGTTCAATATTATAGGAAATTCAAAAAGTACCAGTCGAAGGACGAAAAAGTACCAAAAAGTCCCCTTTTATAGATTCTCATTTACTCCGGGCTCTACATGCTTAATTTCATGTTTCTAGGTTCAATATTATAGAAAACTCAAAAAGTACCAGTCGAAAGACGAAAAAGT